GCACGCACGCACGCACGCACGCACGCACACACGCAAGCATGCATGCACACGCACAGTAAGGTGTTAATTCGTGACTCTACGACATCGAATGCGTGCCAGCAGACGACTCTTGGTTTACTCGACATTCAAGACTTTAGCTTTGCTTAAAAAATTTCAAAATTCGAATTAAAAAATTCGAATTGAACAGAAATCGAACGAGCCGTCGTATGGTCACGTGTGGCAAATACAGGAGGCGCCCCGAAATTCACGCGAAATTTTTTTTCCCACTTGAGTTCCGGACCACAGCCAATCAGCGCACTCCATTCACTCGACTTCCCCGAATTTCGCGCCCCGCCCACGCTGGCGACATACCTCGGCCTTTATGTTGGGTGAGATGGGGTCATCGAAAAGTCGCTTCAGTGGAAACAGCTCATCGAACTGCACGCGCGATATGCAGCCAACGAAGCCCTCAGCGTCAGACATCGTCTCTGCAACAGATAACCCGAGTTAGTTATACGATAGAGGAACGTGCTCCATCTTATGATGGGAGGGGTGAATGTGAGATAGAGAGGGAGGGAGGGGTGAATGTGAGATAGAGAGGGAGGGATGGGTGAATGTGAGATAGGGAGTGAGTAATGAATGTGAGATAGGCAGACAGGAGTGAATTTGAGATAGAGAGGGAGGGGTGAATGTGAGATGGGAGGGAAGGGTGAATATGATAAGATGGGAGGGAGGGGTGAATGTCAGATAGGAAGGGAGGGGTGAATGTGAGATAGGAAGAGAAGAGAGAGGTGGGGTGGATGTGAGATAGGAAGAGAAGAGAGAGGTGGGGTGGATGCGAGAGAGGGAGGGAGAAGGTGGTGAATGCTTAAGAGGAAGTAGGTGAATGAAAGAGCAAATGAGGAGAAGGGTCAACAAACAGAAATAAATGAAGAGGAGGAACGAACACAAGAGAGGAGAAAGCAGGTGTGAATAAATGTGGATGAGGGAAGGGAGTAGGGGAGTGAGTGTGAGAGAATTGAGGAGATACTGTGAACAACTTTAGCCCCAATGAAGGAATGACTGCAGGCAGGGCAGACCGACCAACATGTGCCCGTGCATTCTATATCTCTACATATCTCTATATCTCTATATCTCCACATATCTCTATATCTCTACATATCTCTATATGTCTACATATCTCTATATGTCAACATATCTCTATATCTCTATATTTCTACATATCTCTATATATCTACATATCTCTAAATATCTCTATATTTCTACATATCTCTATATGTCTACATATCTCTATATGTCAACATATCTCTATATCTCCACATATCTCTATATGTCTACATATCTCTATATCTTCACATATCTCTATATATCTCTATATTTCTACATATCTCTATATTTCTACATATCTCTATATTTCTACATATCTCTATGTCTCTACATATCTTACTATTTCTGCCGATGTAAATGGAGAGTAGCTGGTTGAGCCTCGTGTCGTGTTCGGCGGGGATGTTCAATTGTTTCTCGACCTCGTCGTATTCGTCGATCTGCGAAAGGCAAGCGGACAAGGCGGCATGGAAGCGACTTGCTGCGGTTGTCTCAACTTTCGTATTGGGGTGAGACTTATCGACATGGGCCAAAACAAGGAGGGGGGGTGGTCCTATCAAAATTCCTTTTACCGAATCTTTACGGAGAAATTTAACCGTAAGAGATTCCCTTTACGGGATTGTTACGCACAAATTTACCAACTCGAAATCCCCCTTTTCGGCAACCACTTCCAGTCACCCGCCTGCCTGGGTTAAAGAGGGGGGTGGTAAACACCCATCCTCTGTTACCTACACTGTCCGGTCAAAATCGCCGGGGTCACACCTACACTGTCTGGTCCAAAAACTGGAGGAACACCTGTCATCTAACATGGCAGGTGCTGTGGTTACTTGATCATCGTTAACAGATGTTTTACTCTCAGCCTTACCCTTACCCCATCAACAGTGCGTGCACGAAAGTTAGAACGCTAGCATAAGCTAACAAGCCTACGAAAATCAGTACATTTCACACAGTGACACCTAACACCATTGTGTTTCCGGCACGTACCTAAATCTACTCACGTTTCTGGCATTGCGATCGCTCCTGCGTGCGTTCAGGCATCTGTAGTGACACCGATTTCACAAATGAAGTGATGGGACTCGCTAACGCACGGACGTGGAAGCCATCCTGGCTTCACTCAGACACCTAATATCGATCGCAGCGCCGTCTACTGACAGTGACCTCGTCCAATCACAGCAGTCAACAATATTGACCAATAGAGAAGCCTTGTCGGTTGCTGCTGCCATCTATGGGCAGTTTACTATCAAATTCGAGGGAATTTTGCAGTTCGATACAGTATATTAGCTAAACGACCACATAGGAAACAGTTAACGTTCAGAGGAAGAACAGAATAATCGTTTAACCGTGTGGTACGGTCCGCGTGCAACGATGGCTTGTTACGTGATTTTTACCCGTAGGTATTTAAACTTCTGAATAAATGTATATGAACTTTATACTACAAGCTTTATATAAGCAGATAATTCTACTTGGAACGATTAGTGGTTACATATAGTCATCTAATATATATTTGAGTTCGTATGTATGTATGTAAGTCCAACCCATTCCTACATGCTCTTATAATAACTTTTTGTCATTTACACCATATTACCAGGGGTGTATCGATATTGATACACTCCTGATAATACTATTATGTCCCAGGGGTTCTAAGTTCGGTTGTGCTGTCATATAAATGTCATACGTAACAGTTTTTTCGTTTTTCCCATGCTTATTATCTTATTAAACACATTTCTAAATATTAATATTGTGACATGCAATGTTATTGTCGATTTTTACCCAATGTTCCTATTCTGTCCCATTATTATAGTACTATGAATTAGTAGCACGATTTTACCCAGCGCAGCGGGTACCCGCAGCTAGTAACAATATAAATATATAGTGCCCAAACGACTGTTGAAAGCAGAGAAACTAGAAGTACCCGCGCATTGAAGATCGAATTTGTTAATAAAACGACAACTAAATCAGTTACGCAACTTATCAGATACACAACACATTTTATTATCGAAAGGTGAAAGCAAGCGTTTCGACAGACACTGCGCATGCGCACATACATATACAACTCTAATATCGCAATAACTTATTGTAATGAGTACATTCGTACGTAGAAATCGTGTATATTTATTTCACGCATATATATAAATATATATATATATATATATATATATACATATACATATACGAGAAACCTTGATATTATCAGAAGTAGATAATAGGGAACCTGATATTATGCAGTTACTATAACGAGCGCGCACCGTGTTTACACAGACCACATGACGTCACACTCGACGAGACACATTCCTCGCGAGACACACACTTCACTTAAAACAAAGATAACATGAAAACACAGAGAAATATCATCTCGGCGACGATGGCGTTAATTTCGAGCGAGAGAAAACAACCTCGCTGTGCGCTGCGCACCAAGCAGGGAGACACGTCCATAAAAAAAACGTTCAACGCAGTTGTGAAGGATGTACATCAAGAGTACATAATGGAGATCTCTATTATGTACTCTTGATATGCATTCACGTGGGTCACAAGCACCTGAAAGAATTGCATCACTGCGATAAGACCGAACCCCGTTACTGAACCATGAACGATGGGGTGATGAGGCATCACACCCATGTCTGGCGAAACCGTACGGATTATATACACATCCATACAGATCCGCCATTAAGAACACGGGGGAAGTCGCTGCACTGAATGGTGACGTTGCACGTTGCAAATCGATGCTTGCGTGCGTGCGTGCGTGCGTGTAATACCGTAATCGCAATGCCACGGCCGTATACGGAACACGCTAATATCAGATGTCGTATTTTTTTTTAATATGTGACGTCATTGTATTATTCCCAAACGGGTACGTGTGCGCATACGCGTTCAGCCAGCCGTATGAAACGATAGGATTTTCCTACTGCGCGCATATGTGTGTGTGTGTGTGTGTGTGTGTGTGTGTGTGTGTGTGTGTGTGTGTGTGTGTGTGTGTGTGTGTGTGTGTGTGTGTGTGTGTGTGTGTGTGTGT